CTTTGTTTATTTTCAGTCTGGGCATGCATCCTGCCCAACGAGGCCCAGCAGGGACGGGCTCGATAGCGCCCCCTCCCCCTTCACACAACACACCGATCAGCCCTCCTTCAGAAAGCTGAACAAAGACAGCTAATGTTTTACCAAGAGTCTCACCCTGTCCCAGAGCACAAGGAACTGGGCATGCTGCCCCCTTTAAAGCCATACCTAAGCCCCCACAAGGGAGGGAAGGGGGGCACAAAGCATGACACACACCTGACAGGCCACTTGGAGTTTCCCACAGAAATTGCCTTTAGTGGGTCCCGCCTCCATCCCTGCTGGGGTTCCTGGTCTGCAGATGTCTGAATGGGGGGGGGGGGTTTACAGAGTGAGGGCAGGCCAGGATACCGAAGCGCGTGAACACGTGCAGGAAATGGCGGCGGCGTATCAGACATCACTTCCTGAAATCCCAGAGCGACGGTGGCCTCCAGCCAAACACTCGTCCCGGTGCGACCCAAACTCCATCTGCACTTTCCCTCCAAGGAGTGGGTTGGGGGGGGTGGGGATGCATCTCACTGGGGGCTGACCGCAGAAGCACGGACACACAGAACGTGAGGAGTCCGTCTCCATTAACAAAATTAAAAGGAGGAAAATCTATTTTCTCATTACTTCAAAAAATTGCATTGATGGGCCAAAGTACTTCTAAATCAAAACATGACACCTTTTCTGCAGCAATATAATCCTGCCTGATCCCCTGTGGGAACAGAAGGGCCAATCGATACTTGGAAAGAGCCATCGGTCTAATGAGACTCCCCGTTTCTAATCTTGACAATAACATGAGGTGGAAGAATCTAGTCTGTCTGGAAAAAGAGCAAAAATCGGATTATTTGTAGACACAATACTGGGGTCCCATTGATCGACTTTCACTGCTTCTACTTTTAAAGGGTCACTGAGATATTTTCAAGAATAATGATGATATATAGTCCACCTCCCACATGTCCCATGCAATCCCACACGCCACACAAGCACCTGCCTGTACAGGCTTCACTGGACACCCCCCGCCCCCCATCCCCGGGACCCGCCACTTGCAAAGAACTGGAGGGGGTCCGGATCAGGCTACGTCACTGTGCACAGCTGCCCGCTAAAGCAGAACCTGATGTTTCCCGTGTTTACGCTTGACTCTGCTCTATCGGGTTACAGGACCCTCAGAGAAAATGTTTTTACTGTAGATTATAAAAAGCATCTGCACTAGAGCGACAGACTCTAAGACACTAAGGAGGGAACCATGAAACATGCATTGACACATGAGAGCAACAAGTCCCGTTAAGAAAGGAACCGTGAAACACACATCTGCACACAGGAGCAACAGGCCCCGTTAAGGAGGGAACCATGAAATATGGATCTGCACATGAGAGCAAAAGGCCCCGCTAAAAGCTGATTTATACCTCTGCGTCGAATCAATGCTGTAAGTATGCTGTAGCCGTAGCCCTCGCCGTAGTCTGACCTCACCACCCCAGAAATGTAACTATTCGTTGCAACAACGTAGACTGCAAAAATTGTGATTGGTCCACTTGGTGGCATTTGTATTTTTAGGGGAGCGAAGAAAGACCTCCGTTTCCCCCCGTAACTGAAAGCTCCGCATGCACCCCCGCCCATATTCCCTCCCATACCCGAAAGCCCCGCACGCACCCCCGCCCCCGTTCCCCCCCGTACCCGAAAGCCCCACACGCACCCCCGCCCCCGTTCCCCCCGTACCCAAAAGCACGGCACGCACCCCCGCCCCCGTTTCCCCCCGTACCCGAAAGCCCCGCACGCACCCCCGCCCCTGTTCCCCCCCGTACCCGAAAGCCCCACACGCACCCCCGCCCCCGTTCCCCCCCGTACCCGAAAGCCCCGCACGCACCCCCGCCCCTGTTCCCCCCCGTACCCGAAAGCCCCGCACGCACCCCCGCCCCCGTTCCCCCCCGTACCCGAAAGCCCCGCACGCACCCCCGCCCCCGTTCCCCCCCGTACCCGAAAGCCCCGCATGCACCCCCGCCCCCATTCCCACCCCCATACCTGAAAGCCCTGAACCCGGGCCAAGTAGTCGAGTTGCTGGGAGGGCCGCACAGAAGCGCAGGGCAGGGGGGCCGTCTTGCCTCCCCGTGTGCCCCCGGCCTCCGGTGCCGCGCCATTCAGCAGCTCCCGCGCGATGCTCGCTGTGTTGCTGCTGCCGCCGTAGTAGGGGCCCGGGGCCGGGGCCGGGTAGCTAAGCGGGGGGGCGCCGGGGCCGGCCTTGTTTCTGCTGGCCTCCATCTCCTGGTAGACATCGGGGGATAGGTGGAGGATCCCCTTCTGCACTGGAGGGCAGAAAGCAAGAGCAGCGAGGGGGGGGGTCATTGTAAGCCTTCCCAGTGATTTACACTCACACACGGCTGGCTCTCAGATCCCAAAAGGGCCCCTCTCACCGAGACCCCAGGAGACGAGTCACAGGAGCCCATCAAGTACTGGAAAGGGGTGATTTAAAGTAACATCACGGAAGTAAACCCACATCGCGATGCCATTTAAACAGAGGTAAACCAACATCGTCCATGAAAATGGTTAAAACCTCAAAGTTACTTCTAGCATCACACAGCCTGGACAGTCAACCTTTTCTTATTTAACCGGTTAATCTCCATGGAGTCTGGCAGGCAGCAGCCAGCTCCAGTGCAGAGCCAGTGGGTTGTGTTTTGCATGAGTCACTCTACAGGCTAGTCCTCAAGGCATGCGAACACACTCTGGATGCACACCCTGTATATACACTGTACGCTATGAGTAGCAGAGTGTGTTACTCTTGAGATCACATTTATAAAACGTTACAGATAGTTAAGCATGGCACAGTCTACACATTCACAGTGTCACATAAGTGTATCAGAAAGACCTTCAGCACATGACGCACCGTTGATGGTAAATAAAAGCAAAAGAGTAAAAGATCCATTCATCCACCCGCTCGCAGTGTTGCTACAAAATCAAAGGATGATTCAGCCAAATTCTGTCCACAGCAGCTCTGGCCATCAGAGTAGTTATCATCCTGTTACAGTCACTGTAATACGATGAAAGACAAAGATCTATTTTGCTGATTTCAGCATTAAGCGTCTACCTCAGCTAATGTAACCCGATATCAGGTCACACTGTCCAGAAGGTTAGCCAGGGGACGTCACTCTGTCCATTCAAGGGTAAGTGACACCCTCCCCAAATCGCTTCATTCTGTCCCAGAGGTCAACAATTTTTTTTTTTTTAATTTTAGGACTAATCTTTTGTTGAACATGATTAAGTAGATGGTCAAAGAAAAAGAGCACAGCCAAAATTATAGTGATTAAAAAGGTTTCAGGATATTTTTATGTCTTTGAAAGTAATCATTTAAACGTCAAAAAATGCAAACACACAGCTGTTCTAAAATTATAATATAGTTTCAGTTCAAAGCAAAGTAAAATCAAACAGTTACATTATAAATGTGTTTGTATTCTTGGATTAGATGAGGCAGAGAGGAGCCAGAATAGAACTCTATTATATTTAATAGAAAAATATTTTAAATCAAGCCATACAAATATATAAAATGTTAGTTTAATCTCAAACCAAGATATCTTAACGTTCAGCTGAAATGTGGATGTTAATGTACAAAGCATAAATAAAGGTTCTTATAAATTTTGTTTGAAGATTAACTAAATAGAGTTGTGTGCAAACAGAAGGGAACCAAGCTGTCTCAGCCCCCCCCCCACCCCTCATGGTCTGGTGAACTACAGCATGATGAAGGACAGTGACAGGAACCAGTATGTGACTGTGAATGACGTTACTATGGAAGCATAAAGCAGAATAACTGCCATCACAGAACCACAGCTGGCAAAAATCGTGTAAGGTCCAACAAAATGAACTAGTACTGCTACTTGTATGGACAGTGATGATCCAGCACTGCTACCTCTATGGAAAGTGATACCCAGCAGTGCTATCTGAACCTGCATTGATAATCCAGAACTGCCACCTGTACCTACAATGATGAGCCAACACTGCTACCTGTACATGCAGTGATGGTCCAGCACTGCTACCTGTACGGACAGTTGTGATCCAGTACTGGTAGTTGTATATGCAGTGATGATCAAGCATTGCTACATGTACAAGATGATCCAGTACTGCTACCTGTACATGCAGTGATGATCCAGCACTGCTACACATACAAGATGATCCAGCACTGCTAGCTGCACATGTAGTGATGATCTAGCACGGCAACCTGTACCTGCAGTGATGATCCACGGATCTACTGAAAAGTCTTACACCACACGCTTTTCCCATTCAAGTTTTCACCATGCAGCTCAGCTAAGTGACACACACACACACACATCCCATAATATAATCCCGTACACCCCTCATGACAGAGCAGCTGGCAGCAGCGATAAAATCCATTTCTGTTTATACGGGCCGCAGAAATAGCTGCATTCTGCATGGATATCGTAAAGTGGCAAGGTGCGAGCCAACATGATGTCAGGCTTTACAGCACACGCATACGCACACGCACGCAGGCCTCCAGCCTCTGCACCCCACCCAAAATAATGGGCTTCACCCTGGAACTGCTTCTGGGTGGACACCCAGACCAAGGCCCCCTCCTTGATTTAAAACAGATAACGATTAAAGTCCAAACTGTAAATCAAAACGATGAAGCAAGATGTCAGAGTCCAATGGAAAAAAGCACAAAGATGAGGAAATGAAATGTGGCAAGGAGGCTGAGCAAAGCCATCTGGAGCGCACACGGCTGGGGCTTCTTCTAAGACGGCCATAATCACGCCTCCCCGCTCGCTCGCTCAGCTCTCTGGGGGGGTGTGCCCTAATCACGCCAGCCTGCTGCCTACTGAGGGCACTGCGCATTACCCCGATCGAACACCGAGGCCGTTCTGCCAAAGGTGAGTGAAAGGCTGGAGGATTGATGCGTGGGGGCGGTGCCTTAATCGCTCTGCGGGACGTCTCTGGCTGTAAAAGCCGGGTCGTAGGAGTTAACGGCAAATTGATGGATAAGCACAGCCCTGTTCGATATGGCACTTACACCCTGAGAGCACGCAGAAATCTGGCAATAACTCATGGTAGACTTCATCTCTCAGGATCGATTTCTGCTCTACGTGTTTCCGATCGCCAACGCCATCACCTGAACCCGGGCTGGCCTCTTACTGCTATTGTTTACATTTGCTACCTCTTTTCCACTAGTTCGGTGCTGGTGCCGGCGCTGGTGCAGACAGGGAGTGGCACGACCTGAGAACCAGCCTACATTTCCACTGGTTAAAAAAATGTTCCCGTAAGAGAATGTGGTCCCCCCCGCTCCCCTAAAAAGCCTGCCTACCAACAATGAACACAGGACAATGGGGCACTTTTAAATATTTTCCGTTCCTCAAAGTTCCACATGTTTTTTGTAGATTTGGTAGTCTTTTTTTTAGGTTTTTTAAAAATTAAAATGTAGCCTGCTGTCTCCAGCTGTACTTTAATTTCTGCATTTTTTCAGCAACCACTAAAATCAAACAAAACATCAAACACTAGAAATAACAAAAATGGCTCTGCTGAAGTTTACAGCGCACTGTAACCCCTCCCCACACACTAACATCACAGGTTTCAGACCAGCAGTTCTCTGGAGCTGGGCCAGAGCCAGTTTTTCAGACACGGCACCAGCAGATTGCCAGTGGAAAAATTGGGAACTGGTTGCAAATTAGGCACTGGCTCGGCACCAGCAGCAGCACTGCGTTGGGGGGAAAAGGGATATAGATGACTTGGATCCAAATGGAGGAGATACATATTTCTGTAAAAGCGGAGCCGTGACTTCTCTCTCTGTCTGAGGGAGTTTGCTATGCAAACGTGTAGAGTGTAGGATGTGCACAGGGTGGGAGAGAGCAAAATTATAAGCAGGAATGGAGTGTAGAGATGAAAAACGAGTCACTTCTTTGGTAGGTTGGTTGGCTCTCAGTCTAACAGTGTCCACCACACATGGATGACGGATGATGATCCTCCCATCCCTGATGACAACCCCAACGGCCCCCACAAAATGCGGGTTAGAAATCCAGACTGTGTCATGACCTGACCGAGGCAAGAGAGACACAGGACCTGTTTGCATGCATGTGACCTCGTCTGTCATCATCATATGTTGTGGGAATTGGGGGGGGTGGGTGTTTGATGGCTACTGAGGAAACACAATGCCGTGTTTTCAAAGCAAATAAGTACAAGTGTTTTCTTACCATTCTACCATCAGATTTACAACTGGGGCCCTTCCTCAATGCATAAGAGATAAAATGACTAAATTAGTAGCCAGTCGATTGGATGGAGAAGATACGTACATGGAGGCTGTGAGTAAAACAACTAAATTAACAGCCTGCTAATCGGACAGCAGCAAGACGTGTAGGCCATAAGTAAAATGGCTAGATTAGCGGCCAGCTAACTGGACAGCAGTGGGAAGCAGAGGTCGAGAGTAAAAGTTAACAGCCTGCTAATGGGACAGTGGCAAGATGTGGAGGCTGCGAGTAAAACAGCTAAATTAACGGCCAGTTAATCGGACGGCACTGAAACGCAGGAGAAATTAGTAAAACAACTAAAGTAACAGCCAGCTATCTGGACAGCGACGAGAAGTGGAGGTTGTGAGTAAATTACTCTAAAGAATTCTAAATTAGCGGTCAGTTAATTGGATGGCAGTGAGATGTAGAGGCTGTGAGGAAAATGGATAAATTAATAGGCGATTAACACATGACGGTTGCGAGTAATTCAGCACCCGGTTACTCGGATGCTGGTGAAACGCAGAGGCAGGGAGTAAAATGGTTAAATTAGTGGCTGATTAATTGTACTGGTAGCAAGACATAGAGGCTGTGAGTAAAATGGGTAAATTGGCCAGCCCATAGATGGCGGCGAGATGCAGAGGCCGTGAATAAAAACGGTTAAATTACCAGTGGCTTAATGACACAGCGGCGAAACATGCGGGCTGTGAGTAGCCTTTTCTGCTTTCTGACAGCCTGAGGTTACTTGGCAGCCAGTTATCTGCCCACAGCTACTCCTGAATATTTTATTTCTGCTGTAATCAGTGAAGCTGACAGTCAGACAGTATGCTTGGCTCGGCACAGAGCAGACCGGCGATGGAGGGTGAGCGTGGTGTCAGCCGAACCTCTGCTGCAGTGTCCTGAGGAACTGGGCGTCCCACAACCATCCTCTTACTCCAAATCGTCAAACCTTTGTTTTTATTTATTTATTTTCTGAAATTCCCCTTCTCACTGAGTTTCAGCATCTAGGTTCCACATTTTTATTTTATTTTATTTATTTTTTTGGGGGGGGGGGCATCTATGGTCTCTGCATTGCAAGTTCTTCTGTGTCCAGAAACCCGAGTTGTTCAGGACCGTGGCCATGTCCCAAATCCTGAGTGACAGGTCGGACCCGTGCCCAAAAAAGCTGTGGGTCTGGATTTCACAGGCTTGGGACCCCCCCCCGCCACTCCGCGCATCCTGGGCCAGGCCAATACGGAGCATCAGCGTGGGCGGCCTGAATGGATGGCGAATTTGCAGGCCCCCCACGTGGCTGGATCCCCCAGCCCCCCTCAGAGATTAAACAGGAGTGAGGGTCGTATTCAGATGGAAGGGAGAGAGAAAAACAACTTACTGGTGCTGGTAGCTTCTGGATACGGTGGCTTTTGTCCATTCCAGCCTTTGCTGTCTATCTGCTGAGAAATCAAGCAGGGTTGGGGTTGGGGTGGTAAGACTGCGGCTATGGTCCTGCTTCTCATTCACACCCAAAGTCATGCTTTAGGAGAACATCTCTACACCATCTGCACACCTTCCATCCAGACCAGCCAGAGGAAGCCTCAGCCAAAAGCACCTCTGAGAGAGGACGCCCCCCCGTGAGGGAGGGGGGCCCTGGCACCTGCCTCTGACGGAGCCTGTGTGAAGGTGGAGGGTTTGTAGCCCAGTTGCAGCAGCATGGCCTCAGCCGCGTTCCTCTTGGACACCTTCTTGTTGGGTCCCGTCCCTGTGGCGACCTCGTCACACACCTTCACCTGTGTCGAGAGACCACATGAACCTGAACCTGCCAGGGCTGTCACAAAAACTTTTGATGGCAATTCCCTAGTTCAATATGTTGCTTGATGAGGTAGAACATCTCTCAAGATGTTATCTAATATGACACAAGATGTCTCATCTAAAAAAAAAAAAAAAATGCAACACTACCTGTCCTGACACATTTCTGACTCCTCTGTTCAGTCAGGAATGGCAGAAAGTCTTCATGACTCTCTGACTACTGGGAATGCTCTGGTAATAAGCACATCACCATGCTCCCAGCCGCTGGGTGTCATGTGTGACTCAGCAGGATATCTGAAGTGCCTTTTACAGGAACTGAACTCCTTTGTACTGAAGTCCATTGTATGTAGCCAAAGGTTCCCAGTGTACTGTGACGCGAAAGTCACATGCATATTCAACAGCACTTTACAACAATAACCCAGCGCCGCTCATGTAAACCGAAACAATAATGCCATAATCATAACACTGCGGATTAAAACCCGAATAGACCTTAATGTACGAGGATCCAGTTACACAAACTGCTGAAGCCACTTTACTGAGCAGGGTTTGGATGCGGTGCATCTGTTGCTACGAAATAGATAAGCAGCTTATTATTATTATTTTTTTTGAATAACGAATGAAAATCTTTCTGCATGGTTATTAGCATTTAGCCACAGGTACAGATATATAACAGGGGCTGCATTAAACAGGGCAAAGAACAGAAATCTCATTTATACCCCAGCCAGGGCAGGAAAGGTATGGAAATGTTAGAAGTGAACAGAAATATAAAAACACACAAAACCAAGGCCCAACGCCTCCCTGAAAGAAACCAGTAGAGTCACATGATCACCTAGGAACCATTGGCATGTGACACTGACACGGTCCACCAGAGTGGCAAAGCACCTCGGAAACTGAAAGAGAAAATCTACCACGCTGGCTTTAGAAAGCACCACTGTGCCATCTGAATATCAGGAACATGACTCTAATCAGAATTCCCACTTTAATCACAAACAGAAAGTCGTGTAAAACACCGGCTGGTGTTTGTCTTTCCCTTACGACCTGATCTGGACTTTTCCCCCTATCTAGTTCATAATACTCCGAGTCGGAGCATGACCTCACTGGGGAATTACGCTACTGAGAAATCCTGCTGGGCTTTTCTCCTTCGCCTCAAAAACACCAGAGGAAATAAACAAGTACCTACTGACTACCCGCAAAATGATGGGGGGCGCCTGGCCCCCACCTGCACATGAGATCGAGGGCCTGGAATTCTGGTCCAGCATCTTGGAAAGGTTTGCTAAGCAGAGAGCGTTGGGCCAAAGACACAGCAACACAATAACACTGCAGTATGAATGTGGCCCCCCCAGGATAGAAAGTGAGAGTATCCTAGCAGAGAGTGAGCAGGAATCCACACATTCCCGGCCTCCCCTCAAATATAAACGACAGCAGTAAAGGACTGTACTGAGCAGCCTGCACATAGAGACCCCTGTCTCCTTCCTTCCTGCCTCCCCAACAGGTGCCCGACCCCACCTGCATGACAAACTCCCTCCGTCGTGGCATCCCCCTCTCCGACAGCAGCACATATTCCGGCTCCTTCTCCTTCTTGGCCTGCTGGATCTGGGCCAGCCGGCTGATGGGGTTCATCCCTTGCCCGTATTCTGGCCCCGTCTGTCCTCGGAGGGGAGAAGGGTTAGGGTGGGGGGAGTCAGGTCTGCCGGGGCCAGACGAGGTCACTCTGATGGCGGTTTAAAGCATGCCATGCCCCCGGCCTGGCCCAGTAGGTGTCCAAGTGACTGAGGAAGCTGATGTTGTGCTAATGGACCTCTTGAGCTGCTTCAGTAAATGCTGCTGATGCCCCTCTGAGGTCCTCACCTTTAAAATGGTCTTGGGGCGTTTTTTGCAGCGGATTTTGGGCTTTTCCACCACGGGGATCAAGGGCAATTTCTTAAGATCCTGCAGCACAGAAAGGGCCGCCCGTTTCTTGGATAGCTTTTTGCTGTTGCCCTCACCCTCAGCCGTGTAGTCGCCCACCGTCACTCGCGTCAGGAAGCTCTTCATGTGGGGGGGGCCGCTCTCTTTCAGGACCTGGGGGAGTGTTAAAGAGAGCAGCAGAATTGGGAGGCACATCAGCATGCAAGTAAAAAAAAAACCATCTCAGGGATTCAGGATCATGCTCCTGGTCAAATGACGACATGACTCAATCGTGTGAGACACCTGCTGGAGTCACATCAATAAAAGAAACCACTGCCCCAAATGATGACATGACTCAATCATATGAGGCACCTGCTGGAGTCAGATCAATAAGAGTGATCACTGCCCAAAATGACAACGTGACTCAATCGTGCGAGACACCTGCTTGAGTCAAATCAATAAGAGAATCCACTGCCCAAAATGATGATGTGACACAATAGTACAAGGCACCTGCTCGAGTCAGATCAATAAGAGAAATTAATGGCCAAAATGACGGCGAAATACACCAAGCGTCTTTCAAAGATGTTCATACAGAGTCTTCAACGGCATCATCTCACTCAGAGTACATTCATCTCATCTTACTCACGCTACTTCATTTAAACATAGAAGATATGAATAAACAAACAAACCAACAAGCATCTGGCGTTTGGTGCCGAACAGATAAACAGATAAACAAAGATTTCCAGCATTTGAAATGAGGGGCATTCATTATTTCTCTTATTGCATGTGTGTAAGTGTTTATTGAGAGACATTATGCAGATCTGACACATTAGCATTTGAAGCTGAGCTGGCTGTGAGTAATTTGGAGCATGGAGGCAGTCCAAAGAACTACCATGAGGAGCTTTGATAGGAAGCGGATATTGGATATTTCCCGAAGACCCGGAGCTGCTAGCGGGTGAGGGGCGGGGGGCTGGGGGCAGATTGTCACGTCTCCGACGGCGACAATCTCTGTAATCGCAGCTCTATTTTCGTTAAAAGAGCTGGATCTCCAGTCAGCCGAAGGGCATAAAATGAATCAAAAGCAGTGCAAGTGATGTCATGCGTTTTCCGAGAGTGCTGAGCGCCTCACATTGCAAGTGGCAGGTGGGATCCCATGCTGGGGGGGGGTCACACGTACACACTGGACCCCAGCACACCTTTATCCCTGCCCTCCTCAAATCAGAAGTGAAAGCCAATGGCCCCTCTCGGTGTTTTCCCATGCCCCCCCTGCTCTGGCAGCCACACAAACCCTGACTCACCATTCAGGCTTGCCTGCCCCCCCCCCACGCCTGCCCTCACCTACATGGCAGCACCCTCACGCCCCTCCACTGAGGTGCGGATGTTACGATCCACCCCGCTGAGCAATCGGTGCCAGTTTGGCAACGCTGGATGCCCGCTTCCCGCACGGTGATGAAATCACAATGTGTTCCTGACAGTGCGGCCGAAAGTCCCCAGGAGCCCCTGGGTGTGGAATAATTAACTTCTACATGACACCCTGTGGGGGGGTGCCACGCAGAAGCGCCGGGGTGCGATGTATGCAAAGCGTGTGGCCCTCACACGTGACAGACATGGGGGCGCATTCACACGTCTGTTTATTACCGCACAGTGGGTCACAGGCCACCGGCAGAGCGCCATCTGGGCCATCGGGAGCTGTAGCGACCTTGAGCGTGGCAGGTCCGCAGCGGCAGGCTTAGCGGCGGCAAGGGGCCATGTGACATGCAGGGGACAGTTGGGAGGTCAGCAATCTTATCAGATGGACATCAGCTCCAGTGAAACCCACTGTGACCTCTCTGTCTCTCTCTCTCTTTCTGAGGCAAGCTGATGACTCCTTCAATGACTGGAGAAAACCCTCGAACCCTGTAAGCCATCGTCATATCCTCCCTCTCTCCATTCCAATGCCCCCTTAATAAGCATCTATTCTTCCCATCTCCTGTACATTTCAATGGATAGTCACATGTTGTATGATCCTTAAATATCACACCAGAATACTGAATTGAATCCAATGATTGATGTCACAAATTCCATGTCGGGCCTCTTTCAGAAGGATCTTGTTGGCCCTCTGCAAGGCCTTAGGAAAGGCAGAGCCAATCAGCAAATGGTCCCAGCCAAGGCTAGCCCACAGGGCAGTGCGGCACAAAAAAACGACTTCATGTTGGCCCTTGGAAACTTCTGTCGGATCCCTGGGACTTACCAATATTTACCAAGGCAGGGGCCCTATTGTAGACATGGCAAAATGGATTCTTTTTAAGTGGTGTCATCATTGCCGTGCCCCATTATGAGTTTAACAATTAATTAAGTCCTTTGAAAGACAAACTCTGACTGCTGGACCTAGTTCCTGTTTTAAAAAAGCCCAGTGTCCACACAGCCGATCAATGATTCACCGAGCTGAGCTCCTTTGTCAAGCAGCCATGGACTGAGGGAAAGCAGGACATTCCCGAAGTCACGTCTCGTTCATTCAGCGAGGGGCTGCCGGGCATGGGCACACTCTCACGGCACCACGGACCTGGTCCGGCTCGTCCTGGGGAGAGAAACGGACTCTCTGTAACCCTATCAGGCCGTATGACAGCGCCGTGCAGACAAAAAGAGCCAGAGAGCACAGTGGATGAGACTGTCAGCCAGAGCGGCTCGGGTTTCTGCACGCCGGCTGCCCAGCGCAGTTTGGGTTCGGTTGCCATGGATGCGGTAACCGCGGTCGCCGCTTCTCCAGGGTGGCTCCGCCGTGGCTTCAGGTGTGCCCCGGGGCAGGTGACAGTCCCTTTGGTGCACGTTAGAAGATACCCCTCTGTGTAGGTGACAGGGGGGTCAGTGTCCGGGGAGGGGGGTGTTATATATCACCGAAGAGAAGGGGGAACTTGGCACAGGATGTTTGCCGCTCGATGGCGGCAGACGGAGCTCGCAGACGACACAGAATCCGGCGCTGGCTTCTGATGTTTCAGCGCCCCGCTTCCTTCGCGGGCCAGCGAGGCACAGGCTTCTGTCTGGCCGTGGCCCCCCGCCTCGTGAACCCAACAGGCCAGGGATGGCGTGCGCCGATGGGGGAGGACGGGGGAGAGGCCTGACTGCGTTGTGAGCCTGGGGAGGGCTCGGGGAGGGCCGGGGTGTCAGACAATGGGCCGGACTGAAAAGGCCTTTTGTAGACTCTGACGGAAGGATCTTTGAGGGGGAAGCGCCGGGTCCAAGTCTGCTGCCCCCATACTGCGGCATGACAGTAACAGGCACAAACCCGGTGATTCATGTGCTGAGTCCTTTGAAGCCAGTGTCTGTTTGATATTACCTGAGAAGGGTCTGCATGTGTGTTTAGCTTTCCTGAGATCCCTGCTTCTCCCTCTGGCAGAAGCAAGCCCAGAACCACCGACATAATTCACGTAGAATCATGGTGTTAAAGGCTGAAGTCACCAGCAGCCTCTCTGTAGCCAAAGCACAGACGCCATTCTGACCTGTATAAATCTGAGCTTTGCAGAAACAGAAAATGCACTGCTCTCTCTCTCTCTCTCTCTCTCTCCCCGAAATGCCAGGGCCCCAAAATTTCTGGAAGGACTTTGAGTCTGGGCAGGGCTTCAGCAGGATCTGAGCACGGTGCAAAAATGTTTAGTGCAAACACTGTTTCTGATTCGGGGGCCCAGTGGCAGCAAGGGGGAAGGTGTCCGTTATGGATGAGGACAGAGACAGGATGGGGACAGAGACAGGATGGGGACAGGACATGGTTAGGGACAGGGACGGGAGAGGGACAGGATGGGGACAGGACGGGACATGGTCAGGGACAGGGACGGGAGAGGGACAGGATGGGGACAGAAACAGGATGAGGACAGAGACAGGATGAGGACAGGATGGGACATGGTTAGGGACAGGGACGGGAGAGGGACAGGATGGGGACAGGACGGGACATGGTTAGGGATAGGGACGGGAGAGGGACAGGATGGGGACAGGACGGGACATGGTTAGGGACAGGGATGGGAGAGGGACAGGATGGGGACAGGACGGGACATGGTTAGGAACAGGGACGGGAGAGGGACAGGAAGGGGACAGGACAGGACATGGTCAGGGACAGGGATGGGAGCGGGACAGGATGGGGACAGGACGGGACATGGTTAGGGATGGGGACGGGAGAGGGACAGGATGGGGACAGGACAGGTACAGGATGTGGACAGTACAGGACATGGTCAGGGATAGGGAGAGGACAGGGACAGGAACAAAACAGGGACAGGGTCGGGACAAACATGTCAGACACAGCAATCAGAGGACAAAGAATGAAGCACCAATTTCCACAAGGCTTATGCAAACCACAGAAATAATCATGCAAAAACACCTGAACAGTATTAATAATTTTTTTTAATGGTTCGGCAGTTCCGGTAGCTAGTAAAAGATGAATGAGTGGTATGAGTGGCAGCGGACGGAAGTGAGGGACTTTGGGATTCCGCATGGGCAGAGCTATGGGGACAAACGCACATGGAAGATTGTCACACCATGTACATCAACACAAGCTTGCAGAACAGGGAAGCTGGTGGCCATGGCCTAGGTGAAGACCACGCGACATGCAGGGTGGAAGCACCGCAAGCAGCACCGACAGCAACGTGGAGACTTCTGGAGAAGGGCCCAGAGAAACCCGACCCGCTGCTTCCATGGAGACAGCAGGCTGCTGACGCGCGTGTTCTCCATTACCTGGAACGTGACGGGAAGGTTCCTCTTGAGTGCGATCTCGTACACCAGGCTGATCTCCGACTTGCTGGCGTCGCTGCTGTCACAGGCCTCACTCTTCTCCTCCACGCTCTGGAAGGGTTAAAACAGCCAAGGACTGCAAGACATTTCCGGCTGGAGCCCAATGTCTCCCCCCGCCCCCCCCCCCCCCCCCCCCCCCCCCCGCCGCTGCCTGGTGCATCCTACGATGGTGCACTCGAAGAGGGAGGCCCATGCAAGCCTCACCGTGACACGAAGACCGTCATTAATTGTGCAGGCGGGCTCGCCCACAGCCAGGACCTGCGTGCCATTATACTGTGAACCATCTCCTTTTCCTCCAGAGACCTTTTTTTAAGTTTCTTTTTTCCTTCCCCTGACAAAGGTATGGTCCCCAGGGGGGGCTGAGGGGGTGTCCACTGATCAGTACTCTGGTGTCTACATACCTAGGCGAAAAATCCTGTACGAAGCCAAGCCATCGCTGCAGTCAGATGGCACTGATTTCCTGAGCTTTCATGGACCCTGGGGGTGGAGGGGGGCAATGGGACCGTTGCATTTGAATATTATTATCTAGCTGCCCCATCTGGCTGTCAAACATACCCCTCATTAAAACTAACAATGCCAGGCTAAGAAACTGCAGTTTCCACTTGTTTTGTGATTATAGTCCTATTTTTTTACATGAGACACTGAAGGGGAATCAGAAAAACAATCGTGGGGGTGTCCCGAGCCCCTGGGTGTGTGTGAGCAGCATGGGCTCCCGCTGAGGATGAGCCACAGTGGCCAGACTCTGCTGGGCTTACGGCGTGGTTTTTAAAGCCTTTCAAGCTGCATAAAACAATTTAAAGGCAGTAACACTAATAACGGTATTACTTACCATATAGTTTAACGCTCTAAAGAGCTTAAGCCTACAAATATGTGCACTTCTGTGCTAAACCCCATGTGTCTTAGGAGCGTCAAGCCGCCTTTGAAGGTAGATGACTGCTGTGGGGGGGATGGGTGGGATTTTGGGGAGTGTCACGCAGGCCCTGGTACGCGAGAGTGCCCAGGGCATGTACGGGGATCGTGTCTTTCAATTTGTAAAGCAATACACAGAAGCAGTGGATGACAAAGGGTGTATTATGAAGACAAGTGTCAGACAGGATGAGCAGGGAGCCAGAACGGCTTAAATAACCAGCATCCACGCCAAGCTTTTCGCAAACACTGAAATCTGATTTCCGGTGGGGGGCTTATATAACTGCGGAAATGCTTCCTGAACGAAGTGTCAAGTAAAGCACAGCAAACTTCCAAAAGCCTTCTGTAATGACTAAATATAGATCATTAACTTTTGCTTAGCCATGGGGAGTATTGCAAAGCACAGGAGAATTGCTGAAAGGGGGAAACTGTGGGAGCGGGCGTTGCTGTGGAAGTCCAGTGAAAGGTTACCTGGTGTGTAAGGACCCTAAGCTAGGGTTACCAGGGGTGTAGGGACCCTGAGTTAGGGTTACCAGGGGCGTAGGGACCCTGAGTTGGGGTTACCAGGGGCGTAGGGACCCTGAGTTAGGGTTACATGGGCGTAGGGACCCTGAGTTGGGGTTACCAGGGGCGTAGGGACCCTAAGCTAGGGTTACCAGGGGTGTAGGGACCCTGAGTTAGGGTTACCAGGGGCGTAGGGACCCTGAGTTGGGGTTACCAGGGGCGTAGGGACCCTGAGTTGGGGTTACCAGGGGCGTAGGGACCCTGAGTTAGGGTTACATGGGCGTAGGGACTCTGAGTTAGGGTTACCTGAGGCATAAGGGACCCTGAGTTAGGCTCACCTGGGTGTAGGGACCCTGAGTTAGGGTCATCTGGGGCATTAGGGACCCTGAGTTAGAGTTACCTGGGCGTAGGGACCATGAGTTAGGGTTACCTGGGGTATAAGGGACCCTGAGTTTGGCTCAACTGGGCGTAGGGACCCTGAGTTAGGGTTATCTGGGGCATTAGGGACCCTGAGTTAGAGTTACCTGGGCGTAGGGACCCTGAGTTAGGGTTACCTGGGCGTGGGACCCTGAGTTAGGGTTACCCGGGCGTGGGACCCTGAGTTAGGGTTAACTGGGCATAGGGAGCATGAGTTAGGGTTACCTGGGTGTAGGGACCCTGAGTTAGGGTTACCTGGGGCATAAGGGACCCTGAGTTAGACTCACCTGGGCGTAGGGACACTGAGTTAGGGTTACCTTGGCGTGGGACCCTGAGTTAGGCTCACCTGGGCGTAGGGACCCTGAGTTAGGGTTACCTGGGCGTAGGGACCCTGAGTTAGGGTTACCTGGGCATGGGACCCTGAGTTAGGGTTACCTGGGCGTGGGACCCTGAGTTAGGCTCACCTGGGCGTAGGGACCCTGAGTTAGGGTTACCTGGGCATGGGACCCTGAGTTAGGGTTACCTGGGGTCGTTTCTCAGGAATGGGTTCGTTGCGGAGGACCTGCAGGGCCTTCATGGCAGCATTGTGGCGTGCGGCCTGGCGTGTGCGCCCCTCCCCAATGAACTCACTGCTCCCCACCATCAGCTGCACGTAGAAGATCTTGGGCACTGGGTAATGGTACCTGTGATGGAGTGAGGCCAGAGAGAGAGAGAGAAAAAAAAGGGAAGAGAGAAACAGAGCTTTTGATTTATAAGAGGATTAGGTTATGGAAAACTGGCAGTTTTATCATCACAGCACAACCCAGACAGGAATAGGCATCCAGGCGACAGGATCAGGTCCTCCGACGTATCTGTGTGTGTGTTTGTGTGTCTATGTCCTTATTGTATCAATGATATCCTAAGAAAACCACAAAAAGTTAAAGTTTCAGTTTGAGGGCGACAGGGAGTGGTGTACATGCTCGTACTCCTAAAAACATGGACCCCACTCATACCAGTAATGGTACCTGCCAAAGGTAAGTACCCCCAAAAACATGGACCCCACTCATGCCAGCAATGGTACATGCCAAAGGGGAACAACCAGCAACGGCTACTCCGGGGCAAGGAATTCCCACTGTAACCGACCAAGACCTCCCAGCACACACTCCTCATCTTCTGGAACATTCCCATAAGCATTGCAGCATATTCTCAGGGTGAGCGTCTTTGACCGCGGCTGACTGGGTTGGGGGTGACCGGCAGCGGGGAGATTTATTTCCAGAGGGGATCCTGCAGCATATTGCTGGCTCGGTTATTAATGTTTGAAGGCAGGGCGATGCGACCGGCTCGCAGCTCTCGGGGGTCAATTACATAACAATGGCTGCTGGGTGATTCCGGGGAGCGGGGCTCCTGCACAGGCCTGATTTAGGCAGCGCTGAACAAAGAGTCCCAAGCTACATTTCTTATGCTTTATTTTAAATCTGCTTCACTCATGCTGGGCTGTCAGGACACTGTTCATTTTGCAGATTTAGTAGACCCGCACACCCCAATGTCCCCCCCCCCCTCAGCCACCCACCCCAGGATGGAAGATCTCATCAGAGTGAGGACCACAGTGCTGTGAGATCCAAAGCTATCCCACCTCCATCCAAAGCTACATCGAATGGCACAATGAGCAAACGGCCAGTGGTGTGTTTTCCCAGGAAAAATATGGTGAAGTACTTCAGTAACTCAGGGTTACCTGGTATAAAACAAGGACTCCACCTTCATTCTGATTTATAATGAAAAACCGTACAAAGATATTTCCAGCTAAAACCTCATTGGTTATATTAGGCTTGTTTGAGGATTTTAATATAACTCCCATCAACTCTTTTGAATGAATACATCAGCAGTACTCAGTCTGCTTTAAAACAGAATCCATGCAAACACATATCAAAGCTAACATCACATGTCTAATTTAGTGATGTGCATTTGCCATATATCTTCTTAATGATTGATTGTTATATCCATTATGATGCAATTTTTACACACTGGGGCAATAAAAGCCACAAGTTTAGTTGAGGCAAAGGTTCATTTTTAGAATGAACTTTGGATGTTCTCGACATAATAGAAGCTAGTCATTTTTACTTTGATTGACATGGAAGTAGGATTCATGCTGATTTACAGGGAATGCATGCTGATTTAGAGAAGACACACACTGATTTACAGGGTATCCATGCTGGTTTACAGGATACACATGCTGTTTACAGGGGGTGCATGTAGATTTACAAAAGATGCATGCTGATTTACAGGAGATGCACACCGATTTATAGGAGACACATGCTGATTTACATGAGACACATGCTGATTTACAAAGGATGCATGCTGATTTACAGGGGATGCATGTTGATTTACAGAGATGCACGCTGATTTACAAAGGATGCATGCTGATTTACAGGGGATGCATGTGGATTTACATAAGATGCATGCTAATTTGCAGGAGGTCCACACTGATTTACAGAGATTCACACTGATTTATGGAGAATGCCCACTGATTTATAGAGAATGCCCACTGATTTATAGAGGATGCATGCTAATTATAGGGAATGTATGCTGATTTACAGAGAAGGCACACTATGCTGACTTACAGAAGATGCATGGCGATTTACAGGGGATGCACACTGATTTATGGTAAATGAATGCTATTTATGGAGAATGCATGATGATTTGCGGGGGATGCATGCTAGTTTGCAAAAGATGCATACCAATTAACAGAGGATGTATGCTGATTTACAGAGGATGACTCACTGAGGATGATTTACTGTGGATGCACACTGACTCACAGCGGATGACTTTCACATTCAGCTAAATTTACATTTATTGCAGAGGATTTCTCTGAACATGAAACAAAATGTGCTATGTAAAGTATACAACCCCAGAAAGCCATGTTTAAAATAGACAGCAGTACCTAAATTTCACTAAATTCAGCTGTACATGCTTGTGCACAGGGTTATGTGAGCTGGCTGAACAGATGCCATCAAGGCACAGGAACGTTCTTGTTCTCCAAAACAGTTTGAGGTATTTACTTTTGGTTATTATAGACACTTTTATTTGTCCCTTGAGACATGTAATATCAGCCCAATTACCAGATTTGATACCAACTGAACACATTTGGAAGAAATTAATATCAAGACGCGTGGCAAAACCACCGGGAAAGAAGAAAGAGTAGAGTTACATGGCTAATGAGTAGCAGAAGAATGTTCCTGCCTGATAAAAGTGGAGTGTGTCCTAATAATCACACTCTGACTGGAAAAAGTGAACAAAGAGAGTTCGGGAGAGTGTGCCACTGGGCAGTACAATGTAACTGAAACCCTGTGAGCCTCAATTAACTCTGATTTACTCAACCAGAGCATCTCACCTTGACAAACAAGCCATAGATTTTAGTTAAGCTACAGTTAAGCCATAAAACTCATATGGCCAAATTAGGCGGTTACACGTTTGGAGTGTGGGAAGGACAGGCTAGTCACGGTCAGCAGGCCACTACAAAGTTGCTCTGTATCGTCATTGTGTGGCCCTGACTGATGCTTGGTCTTTTAAACACACATATCAAAATAAACTTGGGTTTTATACAAAAACATGAAGCTGACATGCTTCTACGTTGTCAGGAGCGCATAAACTGTGACATGTGGATTGTAAAGAAGGATTTGAACATTTACAAAACTCTTATGTGAAAATGTTATCTCAAGACGGTGACGTTCATGGGATCACTGTGACTCCACCCTTGTAAAGCGACTTTGGGTTTGTCAAAGGTACTATATATTATTATTAGTATAAGATGCTTACTGCAACATCTGAATGTCTAGATTTGAACTAGGCCTGACCATTTTCTTTCTTATTCCTCATGGATATCAGGGTATCTCAGAACATGGTCTTGTAGGTTTACCCAACACCTCCTGGATGGGTGGTCTGAGGTTCTCTTCTTGAATCTGTTGATGTTTCCTTCAGTGACAGCAAGTCACCCTGTTTGGAGGCACCAAGATGATCCCAAATCCATGATTCGTCTTGGCATGTTTGTTTAAATGTAAATGTCATAATTTTACACCACTTCGCTTGACTTCTGGTCTGATGTTCTCCCTGTGGAACACACACGTCTCATTGTCAGATGCAGTTAGACTCCTGCAGGCCGATGTTCCAAAATATCTTGAGGCACATACAGATCGTTTTTAAATTGAGTAGAGCATCAAGATCCTTCTTGGCAAGCAGTGGTTCCACCTAGTTAGTCCGCCACGTATTATATTTTTAACTGCATGGGGTCTTACTGGTGGTGAAGTGGAGGAAAGAGTCTTACAGAGAGCAGAATGTTGTTCTTCACTGACAATATCATGCCTTGTTTTTGGCAGGATGGCCACACAGGGGACCATCTTCCACTCTACAAAACACTCCACTTGCCCAGCATGGCTCCGTGCTTCAGTGTACCCTCAGGGTTTAGAAATGGCTCTGTACTGACCGAACTTTCCATACTGACAGGCATCGATGATGGTCTTTTTATAGAGCACTTCAGGAAGGTTGCGTATGTTTCAAGAACTTGTGGCATGACTTCACTCTGATGTTAAGGAGTTCGGGTTAGTCCGGTATATATATTAGCTAGAAGGGGTCTAAATTAGGGCTGATCTACACCAGTCTTTATATATACCTTCTCCACACCTGAAGTTCTAACACCTTATACATCAAACATTAGAATGAAGGACTACGCCTTGGTGTTCTCTCTCAGTCCAAAAGACCTTAGTACTTACACTGTTAAAGATGTGCTTGTAATTAGATAAGGGGCCAAAGCCTGTCCAAGGTAGCTGATGCAGAGGAACCTTTCTTCTGACAGCGGGAGGTCAGAATGGGCCAGGCCAGGAGGAAAGGCTGTGGGCAGGCCTGTACCATCAGGGATGGGGGGTCAGGAGGAAAGGCTGTGGGCAGGCCTGTACCATCAGGGGTGGGGGGTCAGGAGGAAAGGCTGTGGGCAGGCCTGTACCATCAGGGGTGGGGGGTCAGGAGGGCACATACAGGTGTTTGGAGCTTTGCTGTTATGAGGAATGTTTGGGGCTCGTTGCACTACTGTTACACTGTGGATGGGGGTCTAGTAAACAAGCAGCCGCATCTGGTCCCAATTAAGGGGACACACAGTGCAGACTGGGGAGAGGCCCTCTGCACTGAAAACCACGGCTGCCTCGTGTGATCCCGCACTCCTAAGTGTGTGTGATGATATTGGCACGAGGAAACCGAGGCGCATGGACCTCACCGCGGCTGATTATCACACATTAGTGCCCCGTATTTCCGATGGTACCGACACTGTGGAGCCAGACTTCGGGCTGGGGGGCGCTCTTGCTCGGACAAGCGCCACTGTCTTCGGACGCCGGTCATGGCACCGGACGGCCGAGTCGGCGAGAAGCGTCCTCAGAGGCTCGGCAATGCGCTCCAGCGCTGAGCATTCCTCAGGCCACGAGTCAGTGTGTTATGTAAGACGGAACCCGGCCCGCTAATCAGCTCCCAATTAAAGTACAAACGAGGCAGAATGAGACGTCCTGTAACCGGCCCTCCCGGCTGTTACCACGGTAAACAGGGGACCTTTGGCGGAGCTGGGGCGGGCTGCCTGTAACCAATCCTTCCCCACCGTTACCACAGTAAACAGAGCTGCATGCGGCAACAACACGAGTCTGCTTTCCGTATGAATTATGAAGGGGAA